TCTGCTGGCCTCCTTAGATAGAGAACTTTACTAATTGGCTTTTATGTGAATGTTTCTGTAAAGTGCCCTGAGACAACTTTGTTGTGATTTGGCGCTATATAAATAAACTGAATTGAATTGAAGCATGCCCCACTGGGAGGAACCCTGGGCAGACCCAGAACTGGCTGGAGGAATTATATATTCTCTCTAGCTTGGAAAGACTTTAGGATCCCCAGGAGGAGTGGTGGTCTAAGTTTCCTTTGTGGGCAGATGTATAAAGTTTAAAACAAAGAATAATGATGAACCACTTTGGGAAAATAAATATTTAAAGTATTTAAAAATTTTCAATTAAATAGACAAAATATATGGCATTAAATGGATTTTAACAGGCTTTTGCATACACCAGAGGATGTTAAACTTCTTATTCTTATTCCAGCCCCTTAAAGATCAGTAAAGGTTTCTGACTGGGACCTTTGGTCTGATCCTGTTCTGTGGAACGGACCAACTCAAAGGAAATCTAAACCAAAACCCTCCTTTAGTTTTTAGAGACTGAACTTAACGGATCAGGACATCGTTTTGTATTACATTATATATTTAATTTTTTATGCCGTTTCTTGTTTCAGATGTTTTACTTTTTTCTGCCTGTAAATCACTTTAACTCAAATTTTAACAAGGTGCTATATAAATAAAATATTAAACTGACATTGTGCTCTGTATTGACCATTCTTTGGTACCTGACAAAATATAATATAATGAAAATTAAACGATAGATTCTCCCCAAAGATCCAACTCTTCACCCACCAACTACATTTAAATAAACAGTGACTCATGAAAGCTCAGGTGGACGCTCACAGTTTTCAAAGTAGAACTTGTGGAAGTCCATGCCCTCCACTAAGTTTCCCAGGGCCTCTGGTTCAAAAGAGGTGAGTCCAGGATCACAAATCCTCCTATGAACAGAAAAAAAAAGAGCAAAAACGTTTGAATATTCCAAGTTTACGTGGTAAATAAAGAACAAATGGATGACACTCACGTGTAGGCTTCAAAATCTCCATTGTTGATTGCTTCAATCAGCTGCTCCGTTATCTTAATGATCTCCTGTTTACGAGCTACAGAAAACAAAAAGAGAAACGCGTGGAAGCTGGTGAGAAACCAAATGAAACAAGTGGCTGACATTTCCTCTCAAAACCTCAGCTGCTGCCTTCCCTTCACACCCCGTAGCTCCACGCTCTCGCCCGTCAGCCCAAAGCAGCTTCGTCACTGCAGCTCGACTACATCGCAGCGTGGCGCTCGTCTTTTGCACCTCCTGCGCGACCCGAAAACTGACAGAAATCCACTCGGCTGTGAGCTCACGCTGCAGCCAAAGCCACAAACGGCTCAGCCACAGGCTGCTGTCGACAAAGAGACCTCGACCCAAAAGCCAAATTATCAGCTGTTATCGCAAACTGTAATCGTGATCAAACATCTTGGAGAAAACGGCATTTTCTCGATCAGCTACTCGCAGCGGAAGATTAACAAGGCGAAAGCTGAAAGTAAACAAGCCCCGAGATGGGACCGACAGAGGCGTTTTTATTTCTATTTTTATTTATGTTCATTATCAGCACGCACAAAACAAACATGGCTGTGCAACTAGGGATGCGCGATACTGGATTTTTGGCTGATATCCGATATGTTAAAACTTATAGCTTTCTCTGCTGTGGAGTTAAAATACTACATTACTCTGCATGGTCTTTGTCAGTTTGGCCTGTTACCAAATGCAGATGCCAAAAAGGAGCTGAAAATAATGCAACACTTCAACTTGGATTATGTTTAATGTCAAATGTATTCATGACATTTACTCCAACACAATGACAACACTTGAAAAGTGAAAATTTGTAAAATTTTCACAAACCTAAACTCAACCTGTTCACAAGAGACAAGTGAAAAGTGCATAAGTAGTAGCGCTTTAATAGATATACTCGAGTTTCTTAAATTAAAAACTTCAAACAGAAGCCCAATACGTGGTTATACAATCTTAATGTTCAACTCAAATCTCCTCGTCACTGGGTTGTCATAGAAAAACTGTAATTACAAGGAGATTTGAGTTGATCATTATTTATTTTCATATATTTATTTTTTTTGTAATCGTAAATTTTTATTATTTAACATTTGATACTTATTTTTCATTTTAAGCTACATTTCTTTTATTACGTTTTAATGCAGTTTTTAATTTAAATAAATTATTTGTTTATGTATTAACACTTTTTACTCATTGAATATTTATTTCTACTATCATTTCTCCCCACGTACTTTTATTTTCATACTTCTGGATCTCGTCTGTCACTGCTTTTCTACAATATTCTGTGTGTCACGCAGAAAGAAGAGGCTGCAGCTCGTAACAGACAAAATCAATTATAAATATCTTTACTAGCAAGCGCAACAAAATACTGGTTATAAAGTACGAGTAACGTTTGGTTATTGAAGTAATTTGAGGAATGAAACATGAGTGATGAGTAGACTAACTTTCTGTTGGTTGAAGATGAAATGGTACATCGTAAAAAATACCCTCATGACCGTTATAGAAAAGTGAACCAAGTGTTGACCCATTTAGCCAGAGTCAGCTCGTCTTATGACCGCCATCATAAACAAACATTAAGACTTCAATACTCTTTACGACTGAAATTCAGAAAACTTCCAGTAACAAAACATAAAAACTGTTTCTGCATATCTATGAGCTCAAGTCAATCACCTTCAGAACCACTGGAGAACAACCTTTGCAGTATTTTTTTATTTTTAAGTTTAATGCTGTTTTGTTATGCCGTTGCTAACGGTAACTGTGGATGCTGCGCTTCACGATGAAGAGGGAGCAAGAAGGCAGGGGTCGACATAAGCGGTTTCCGTTTGTCCGAGACAACCATTTTCATCTCGTACAGCCAGATCGCTCCTCGAGGTTGTCCGGCGGATTACCAAGTTAAATAAACGTAGATTAATGTTCTCATTCGCTGCGACGGGTTTCTGTCATCTTTAAAAATGAAAGGGGGAAAAACACGTTTTGTTGCAGTGTTTTTAAACCCATCCAGTCTAACGATGAAGGGATTCAACTGATGCTTTCAACAAATTAAACTTAAAATAACAGAGAGCTGCCGCAGGAGTGCGCTCACACTGAGTGTTTCTCATGGTGAGACGAGCCTGGTTTCATTTCAATTTAATTTTAGGTTTAATTTTCCCCAAAACTCACAAAGTTGTCTGAGAATGGGTTTCAGGTGTTTGTAGTTTATCATAAATATCAGTTCTATACTGTGTTTTAGCAAAAACAAGGTGTTGTGGCTGTTTTGGATGAGCTAAACTTGAGTACATTTAGAATCAGACTGAGGTAACTACTGTGATAAATGCAATTAATAAAATACATACATACAATACATAGTATGGATAACTTCTAGATGGAGAAAAAAAAAATCAGTCAAAATATTTTTTTTGCTTTAATGCCTTAAATTTGCTGCAGGTGCCTCTCTGATGAGGAATAGGGTGAGAACAAGGAAGTTCCACTCCAGCAGCTCCTGAAAGAGTCTGCCACTCAGCACAAAATGGCAGACTGACAACATTTGTATATAATAAACTTAGTATGACATAATATACTTATTACATTATTCTTGTCATTTTTTGCCTTCTTTACTGTAAAGGTTGCGGACAACCAAAATTTTGGCGGCCAACTAGATTCTGCGAAGAGGGTGTCTACTGGACAACCTGGAAAATGTTCCTTACGTCTACCTCTGGAAGGTGTTCATGTTCCCATCACCATACTCACAAGCCTCAGAGTAAATGACCGTTCACCTTAAACCACTGAAGTTAATATTTCAATGGGCTACAACTGTTGGAGACTAGTTGGTGACTCAAACTTGAGTTAAAATTGCAAGAAAACATAAAAATATTTGTTTGTAGTCTTCACTGGATTCTGAGTATTTGTGAACAAGCAGTCAGGAAGTCGTGGCCACGAGCTCTTCTGGTAGTTTTTGGAAATCTTGGCTTATTTTTGAGTGCATGGCTTGCAAAACAGGACATGCAAATTATTTTATGGTCCACTTCTGCAGCCACCTCCACATATACGATTGAATCTTTAGCACACTTTTGCAATGAAAATAAGCACATTTGAACCAGTTTAAAATAACCATCTGAATGGTTTTTAGATGCAACTGTGTTTTCTGTCAGAGGAAAGCTCCTGTGTACGTGTCAAAATCCAGATCTTGCACGATTGAGACTGGTTGAGACAAGTTGCAATGACTATTTTGAGACAATTTGTTGCACAGATTCCTTTGAACGTGTTCAAAAGAATTTGAACTAGTCACCACCAGTCAGTCTAGTAAGATAACATCTTTAGGAATTGTTGGTCTGGATTTTAACCTGCTGAGCAGCTGTTTTAGCTCCAATATTCCCAAATCCTCTAAACACTGCAATCATTTTGATGAAAAAAGGGAAGACGAGCAACTCATTTTATTGACATGATTCACATCTTTAATTTAATTGGTCAAAGTTTTCCTCTAGCAGAAGGTAAGAATCAGGCATGTCAATTTTGAGCAACAAACTATCAGCTGAATAAGTTAAAATTAGGGATGCACGATATTATCGGCATGGTATTGGCCGATATTAGCGTTAAAATTAAATATTGGACATCGGCCATTACATCAAAATAACTCACGGATATAAAAGACGCTGTTTTTGTATGAAAACCCAGTGACAAGGATGCCTGCAGCGCCAGCACAACGTGATGACGTCACGTGTGCCTACCTGATCTGGTCACGGTGGAGAGGAAGAAGAAGTCAAAATGCCGGCGGTGTAGAAGTTTTTTCTTTTTCTTTGAGGATGTTGGATTCCAAAGATTTTTGGACGGCGTTGAGCCTCGCTACATCGTCCCCAGTCAGAGATATTTTTCTGACGTAGCCTTACAGAGTTACAAGCCGTCATTTCCGACGTCACTGAGAAGCTAATAGCCGATAGCACTTGGGTGAGTTTTACCACAGACATTTGGACGTCAAGTGTTAGCCCCGTTAGCATGATTAGTCTTACGGCACAATGGATAGAAAAACTTTGAACTTAAAAAGTCTGTCCTTCATGCACAAGAGCGCAGAGGATCCCACACTGCAGCTAGGAACCTGGAACAAGCCTCCACAAGTGAGACAGCATCGCAGGTGACTAATGCTAATAAACAGGTAACACTTTTCATTTAATATAAGTTAAAGTGCTATGCATATGGTTGTTACTGAATATTTACTGCCTTGTCAAAAAAAAGTTGCCGCCAAAAAAAGTCTATTTTATTGGAACACCTTTAACTTTGATTATGGCATGCATTCGCTGTGGCATCGTTTCGATAAGCTTCTGCAATGTCACAAGATCCATTTCCATCTGGTGTTGCATTAACTTTTCACCAAGATCTTGCATCGATGGTGGCAGATTCTGACCGCTGCGCAAAGCCTTCTCCAACACATCCCAAAGATTCTCAATGGGGTTAAGGTCTGGACTCTGTGGTGGCCAATCCAAATGATGTCTCATGCTCCCAGAACCACTCGTTCAGCTGGCCTCATTCTTGAGCACATACTGTTGCTGAACCTAGACCTGACCAACTACAGCAACTCAGATCATAGCACTGCCCCCACAGGCTTGTACAGTAGGTCACATTTCTTCCTCGAAGACAATGGGTCCCCACCATCCTTCCAGTTTTTAGTAATGAGCTGGACAGTTCTTAACCCAGTTTTAGTAGTTTCTGCAATCTCCTGAGATGTTTTCTCTGCTTGATGCCAATGATTTGACCCTTCTCAAACAGACTGACATCTTTTCCACGACCACGTGATGCGTCTGACATGGTTGTTCAAGAAATGAGAAGCAACTCATTGCACCAGTTGGAGTTAAATAACTTGTTGTCATCTGAAAGGTAATCACCCATGCAGTAATTATCCAATAGAAGGCTCGTACCCATTTGCTTAGTTCAATCCAGGTGGAGACTTCTTTTTTTTTTTTTTGGACAGGCAGTGCATGTCACCAGCTTTTACAGGTGTTACACAGTTTTTATAGCAAATAAGTCTAAATAAGAGGGCTGTGTTCTGACAAAGGAAAGTATATTAAACATAATGGTATCGCTTATAGGCCAAATAAGTTTTAACATTTCGGTATATCGGATTTCGGCCAAAAATCCAATATCGTGCATCCCTAGTTAAAATCTTTATTAATCTACAAAACTCCCAATTCACTCCTAAAAATTTTCTGAGCAGCAGCTGTTTCAAAACATGAGCCTACCAACCGTACATCCTGATCTTCTAAACGGTAAATAATCAATCATTTCAGCAGTGAAAGGTTTTAGTTTTGAGCAGCTACAGTTGGGTTGAAGGCATGGAGAGCTGGGTTAGTTGATTAATGCAGATATGCTCTTACTCAGCTTTGTGTTGCTTTTAGCAGCAACAGTGTTGCTCCCTATTGGAGCGGCAGGAATGGAGGACTGCGAGTGGTCAGAGTCGGGACAGGAGCTGTTGCCCGTGCTGTTCCATGCCATACGCTTTACGTCATGCGGTGGAACTGAAAACACACAACGAATGGTCAACAAAACATATGGATGGACAACAGGAAAGACTCATGACATGCACACACATCATGCAGTAAAACACCAAGACGGATCAGTCAAATCTCAATGGAGTTAGTGGGAAATAAAACCTCAACAAGCAAATCAATGATGGGAGGACACAATCACTGAAGCAAAATTCAGGCAGAGAAATTATTTCACTACCTTTGCTGCTTGTATCTATTCTACTCAATGTTCATATAGATTAAAGCTAAGAGGATCAAAGACGTTGTTTGTTATTAGCTGATCTTATGCCTGAGGGAGTCTCAGCATGTTCAGAACATGAGAAACAGAATGGGAGTCACGAAAGCAGGTGAGTGTCAACATTGGGAAAAGTAAACTAGAAAAAAAAAAGAGGAATTATATATATTTAACTGTTTGAGAAAACACAAAAGTGCTATAAAGATGGGTCCATAAGAATCAAATAAACTTGATTAACGAGAAGAAAGAAAATAGTAGAACAAAGCATAAGGAGAATGGAGATGCAAATAGAAACATGATGCAGTGACGTGTGGTTTCAGGAAAGTCAAGACGGGCAGCAGGACCTGCCAGACCAACACAGGAGGCCGCTTTAGGATACTCGTTTGCAAAGTAAGCAAGGTTTCCTCCAGCTGCAGCTGTCATATAAGCAGAACAGGAGGAAATGTGCAGTGGTCACCAAGGAAAACACACACACACTCACACTCACACACACACACACACACACACACACACACACACAGACAGAGGTTTCAAGGTTCCCACATTGGCCCTGATGATAAATCTATAACTTTGTTTGACCTTCCTCAGTTTGGTCTGTGACCTGAAAGTGGATCGGACCCCGTTTTAGTTTCATAAAAGGACAATGAAGTTGACGGTACTAAACAAAATTTACAATACAAGGGAATATGAATTAAAACAATCGTTTAGACTTGAGCCAAACAAAAAGGCAGGCTGAAAGTTGATCACTGAAAAGACCATGCAGCCTATTACAACTTGGATTCCCCCCACCCCCTAATAGCGATACCCATTCCCAAAAAGAGACTGTTAATCCAAAATCAATGCAGGAATGCTACAATTAATTCCAAAAACACAACACAAAACGTCAACAATAAATTTAAACGATATGTACGCTGAGGGCCCCCAGTCGCTGAAGGATTTGAACAAAGAAACCTTAATGTTTTTAGAGCAAGATAATAAGCTGAGTAGAAGTTGTACTGTGTATAAGAACAGGGTTTTCTTGTCCGAGGCAGCGCAGCGTGACGGATCAGGGCGAGCGGAGGGAACAATTTTATCCACCACCTGGTGCAATGATGGAGCCGGGGGGTGGGGGGGTGGGGGTGATGGTGGCCTTGGCCACCATAGATTAATCTTCAGTCACCCCAGATATTTGAGCAAACTACACTTTTAAGCAATCTAAAAACTAGAAAACAGTTTTCTCAAATCATAAGGGCGGCTGATTTAAATATATATATGTTGGTGGCCATCTTGGATTTTGACGTGGCAACCCGGTTTTCAAAAAGAACCTTTCTCACGCCAAGTTGCACCCGCACACCCAAAAGGAAGTCAGTACCTCCCTTGTTTTTTAAGTTCTCACACTGACAACATGCACAGATGGAGGGCATTACCAATTCCCCCTTTTTGCTCTGCAACGGGGGACAAAAATGCAACATGGGAAAAAAAAAAGTTTTAAAGAAAAGTCAGATGAACACGAGGGGCAACAACTGGGATATACTTTAAAGACTGACTGTATTTGGAAAGCTACCAAAAATAAATACCGGTACATAAAGTAAAAAAATTTCTATATCTAGTAAACAAAAATTGTTGAGTAGTGTGGAGGAAACGTCTGACGTGCATTTTACTTGTGTAAAACGATTTTACAAGATAGATTCTTCTGTTCTTTATCTGTGTAGGTAAATATAATCCAAGTTGCAATAAACTGAAAATATTCTAACTCAATGACAATTTTTAACCATAAGCGATTTTCCAAAACGGGGCATAGCAACAAAGACTGAACGATAAAAATCAAATGTTTCACTCATCTACAACCAGTGGGAACCCTAAAAAAAGCTTGGTGGATCAGAGTGAGGAGCTCAAACATGTAAAACGTCATTGCCAGTGACTACAAAAAGCCAAAGTGGGAGTGGGAGGATGGGTGGTGGGGGCGTCAGGTCCTTGCCAGGGGCGACCATAAAGCTTCTGGTTGCCATGGATACACTTACTGGCAGGTGAGCTTTGAGGTGAGGGCAGAAGTGGGGGCATCTCCTCTGCGGCACTGCTCTGACTCAGCGCCGAACTGTCCGCTAGAACACACACACACACACACAAGATGTATCCAGACACACATTAAACACACACAACAGGCACACAGTCAAAACTGAGACACATGTTGAACCTCGGCACACCTGTCAATCACTACAGTCAAATACACACTCTTCACTAGATGGGAGACAGAAAGAGAGAAAGAACAAGAAAGGAAAGAAGACACTCGAGTACCTTTCCTACCTTTCATTTCCTCCTCATCGTTTGTGGCGTTGCTTTCTGTTGATCCCTGAGGTGAAAAAAGGAGAAGGAGGAAAACAAGATGCGTTCTGAGCTCAGGTTCAACAGAGCTGTGCAACCATTAAGACTTTCTGAAAACGAGAATCTCACCTTGACTCCATCAGGAGGATTGTGCACCACTGTGCTCTGAGATTCCTGCAGAAGAAAAACGAAACAAACGGTCAGTCAGTGACAAAACTGTCTTAAAATGGTGCCTCTCAACTGGACTTTAACTGGGAACAACGTGACATTGTCCCTGCAGCTGTCAGGTTTTTAAATTGTCTAACTGTGGCAAGGTCTGGGGAATTTAATACTTTACACCAAAAACCAATTATCAAAAATACTTTTTTCTTTAAGTCGTGAATTTGCAATCATTAAGGCCAGAAACAGTAACAGTCATAATATAAGCAGTTTAAGCTGCAGGATTTTATAAAATATCTGAAAACTCGTGACACCAGTTGAGAAGCACTCCACAAACAGTGAAATCCAACCACGGCACTATAAAATGTCATTCAATGCGTTCTAGAAAGAGTAAAACCAATCCTTGCTAAACTGTGTAACAGCACATGATTGAGTTCGACAGCATGTTTAGGATGTCAGTGGGGACGTCACAAGAGGAGCAGCGGGTTAAGTGAGGGGGAAAATACAACTATGGATGAGCTAAACTGTTCAGATGAAAAAGATGTTAGGGAAGATGGTTGCAGGATGGTAATAGGATAAAAGCGTGTGGGATATTAAAGTTTAAAAGCAGAATGTGGATATAAACATAGGGTTCATAACAGAACTGAATAATGTTTAAGATACAAAGGCTTTTATTCTTCTAAAAAGAACTCTACAGCTACATTTGACATTTTGGATGTAAATGTTTCTTTTAAATGCTACACAGGTGCACATGTGCGGCCTGAGATTTAAATATTGATGATTACTGAATTATCTCCAAAGGGCCTGATGCACATCCAGCTCAGGAACACATGTGCACCGGGGGGGAGACTACAGGATGTTGGAACAGGGATACAACTCAACACCTCCTGGGCCATAGATGGAGGATGACAAGCATGATGATGGAGGATGAGGCAAATCAGGCTATAATGCAACAACTTGGAGACGGGAGGGGGAAGTAAAGAGGTCGCAACTGGCACTGCGGCGGTCTACTGTACCATCTGGGCGTTGGTTGCCATGTTGGTGTCTTTCAGGGCATTGATGGCGCTCACTATACTGTTCTTACTGTTGTTGGTGGAAGGCTGGGACGAGAACGCAAACAGTGAGCACAAAAAGCTGCACAAACATACACACCGATGCATTTGAATTAAAACGCCTTTTTGGGAATGGGGCTAATGTTCATCTAAGCTTGGGGGCTGTTGAGCGCTAACAGGATAAATGAGAGGGTGAGTGCCACAGAATGGCCTTTAGATCATCCTTTTTACTGCCTCACTAACTCTCCATGCCTGTGCCACTTAACAACACAGGAAAAAAGCCCAAGGGCAGAAAAGATGGACAAGGAGGGCAGGAGGAGGAGAGAGAGCAGAGACTAACGGGGAAACTGCTTGGAAAGTGAGCTGAAGAAGTCAGACCAAAACAGACTTAAAGGTGTAGTTCAGACTTTTGAAGTGGAAATGTATGAAGCATTAATATCTTACCTGTTGCACATAGACATTTGAACAACCTTAATCTTGAGAAATTATTTTGACTGAAGCACTAACAGCTAGTATACAGACATAATTTGTCATTTAATTTTCTTTTTCATCTGCTCCCTTCTGCAGGGGTTGCTACAGCAAGCGAACTCACACAGTAGATTCAGGAATTGTTTATATTGGCCAGATGCCCTTTGTGAATCTGGCCCCGGTTATTTGCTATAGATAGTTGTATCACTTCTGGTGCAATACAGTATTTTATTTCTGCTAGACTAATCGAATAACACAGTTAACAGTGAAAAAGGTTTGGAAAACAGTGTTTAAAGAACTGCAATGATTTATATAGCTTATTTTTAGTTATTTTTTAATACAGTGGGAATCTACTTTGTTCTTGGCTCCGCCCAACTTGACTGTTAGTTCTTAGGCCCAGTTCAGTTTCTTTAAACTAAGGATGTTTAAGGAGCTTACTAAAACAGGTATAGTATTAATTGTTCATAACCGTTCCACAGAACCCTGTTTGTCAAACGATCTGAACCACTGCTTCAAGGTTTAAAAAAAAAAAAAAAAATTATAAAAGAATTACTTCAGAGATGAGGAGGAAAAAGTAGTTAAAACAAGGTTTTCTCAAGTTTGTGGATGGGACTACAAGAAATTGGAGGTTTAAAAACATGCAGCACAAAGAGGAGAAACTCAAAATACCAGCTCTAAAAATCTATAAACATTCAGAAAAATATAATAGGAATAAAATCTGTCTCGTTTGAAAATAAAAGTAATAAAATCTGAGCTAACCGGAGACGTTGAGGGAGGCAGAGAGAAGGAAAAACAAGACGACCAAGGTCACAAAAGAGGGCAGAGGTGAGGACAGCCTTACCTTGGCAGAATCAGACTTCTTGTTGAGTAAACTTTTGCATGCTGTGAAAATACGGAGGACAGGAAAAAGAGGAAGGAAAAAACAAGTAAAAAATTAGTTTGAATTGACATCCTTTACGTTTATTCGGCCAATTCGTTGCTTCCATCTCGAAACTTGAACCGACAACTGTTCCATCTATGAAACCTTATTAACTATGCCTTTAGTGACCAAGTAAAGCTGGATGTTTCCACAGAGCAACATGCATTTAATGGACTTCTGGTGCAATTTTCCCTTAGCTGAACAGGTTGTTACACTCTGCAAAACCCATTCACTGCCATCTGGGGATAGAAGAGAAACCTGAGAGCAAAGTGAACTTTATAAATCCATTTCCTGTCTGGAAGACCCCAGCAGATCTAAAAAAGAAGAGTGATGGTCAAACTCAAACTGCCGCCAGGACTGACGGTGATGAGCTAGGTTAATGTAAATCATTGATTTCCTTTAAGGGCTGCAGCCTGTTTCCTCTCCGTCTAAAGCTCTCAACTCTCCTTTTCTCTTGTTTTCTACAGACACTTAATTTCCAAAAACTCTTATCTTGTGTTTCTTACCTTCAAATAGGAAATAGGAGAGGGGGCGGAAAGGGGTAAGGTTAGAATTTCACAAGAGAGTAAAGATAAGGGACACGGCATTTGCAGCAGCATACAATATCAAGTGACAACCCATGCTCCTTAATCTTGGCTGATATGTTGTTACTATCCTGGCCTGGCCATGCAGCATTCAAAGAGAGATGTGAGAAAAGAGGTTTTCAGTTCACAACCAGAAAAAAAAAAGGGCTAGTGATCAGGACACAACATGTGTGCTCCTTATTTAACTAGATACACAACTAGGCCTGTCACAATAACAAATTTTGCTGGGTGATCGTCTCAGAAATTATTGCGATAAACGATAATATTGTTTGAAATGTGACAATAATTAGTAATAATTGTCAAATTTAAGAAGAAATGTCAGTTAGTTTGTTTCGAGTGTAGTACCTTTTTTGTTTGAACCGAAGGATGGATAGTGAGGGAGCGAGCAGCGAATCTTAAGAAAAATGGGCAGGAGGCCCCTTTACGTGACATGGGCAGTAGTTTTTTTTTTTTTCGTTTCTCAAAATGGCGGATGCTTGGTGTGGTTTGAGCTCTTTAGCATAGCATTTTTCATACAAAGCTTTTAATAAAA